TTTTTTTTTTTTTTTTAATCTGTGTCCTCTCTAGATTTATTAATCATGTCTTGTACTATGGGCACAATCTCTGCTGTTATCACAGAAATTATTTCTGATTTCATTTTTTTCCAGATCCTCTTTTGTTGCTAGTTCAGAGAGTCCAGGTGGTTGAGTATCAGAGTGTTCCATTTCATTTCCCTTTGGGGTTGCTGTAGGTGATCTGGAAGTCTTGATTCCATGACTTCTCATTTCAATGGCGGGGTGGGGTGGGGTGGGGTTGCTGTTGGTGGACACGAGGCTCACCTCCTCTAGGCTGGGAGCAGTGGAACAGCGGCCTGGATGCCCTTTCCTCAGGGCTGGGAGTGCTTTGTTTTATCTTTTAATCTTATCTTTCTTTTCATTAAGCTCTCATAGGGAGCTTCCTTGAATGCCATCAGATCCACAATCTCTTCAAAGCCCTTCCAAACTGTGCTGTCAAAATCACTGCTCCAATTTTTTAGTATTCTTTTGTTGTTGTTACAGCACTTCCCTCTCTTTCAGGTACCAAAATCTATGTTAGTTATCTGTTATTGCTTATGAATCACCCCAAAACTGACTTAAAGTGATAATCATTTATTACTGCTACTGGTTTTTGTGAGTCACAAATTCAGGAGTAACTTTACTGACTGGTTCTGGTTCAGCATCTCTTCTGAGGTTGCCCTCGATGGTGTCTCAGTTGTTTTAAAGGGTCCTTGACTTGTGTGGCTGGTACCTGGACTAATAAAACAAGGACAGTTGCAGTGGGACAGCTAAGGCTTCTTCGGCATCTTTCTCAATGGAGTTTTCTTCATAACTTCTCCAGCATAACATAGTAGCCAGACTCCAAAGGCATTGAGAAGGACTCCAAAGGCATGCATCCCAACAGAGAGCCAGGAAGAAGCCATAGGCTTTTTCTCATCTAACCTCGGAAGTAACATGGTGTCACGTCCTGCACACTGTATTGGTGAACCCAGTCCCGATTCAAGGGGATGGCAAGTAAACTCCATTTCTTGGTGGGAAAAATGAAATTGATATTGTAGCAAAAGGATATGGGAGTGATAAACACACACACACACACACACACACACACAGACATATAAAATCTGACACCCTGATGAATGCTTCCTGCTCTTTTGTCTGTTGTATTGACCTTGTGGATCAATAATAGTAATAACAATACAACAATGAAAATGGAAATATAATAATAATAGCTCTAACAATCATTTATTACACACTTACCCTATTGTGAAGAACTTCTTTTTAAATTTCCATATTTTTTTTTGGTACTGGGGATCAAACTCGGAACCTTGCGCTTGTGAGGTGGGTGGCAGAACCACTGAGCTAAATCCCCAGCCCTAAATTTCCTTTTTGATGGAGGTGTAACTCAAATGTGATAAAGTTCACAAGGCTTAAGTGTACAGTTCAATGAATTTTTAGGCATGTTTGTGGACAGATATCCAAACCTAGAACCAGACAGAACATTTCCTTCATGCCCCTATATCTTTAGGCTTCCTTATGCCCTTTCACTACCAATCCCCCTTCTCTCAGGGGGTGCATTATGTGGATCTCTGTCATTATTATCTGGTTGGCTATACGGATTACGTGTTTACTATATGTGGTCAACATTGAGTCATACGTTTGACACTTGCTGAGTATATGTTGGCCACGTGGGTTTGGTTTAGCCTGCACAATGTTTTAAAACATTATGAATTTGACTACTTTTAACATTAGAAGTTCAATGTAATCCCTGCTACTCCTTGTTATTTTCTACCCAGGCAATGTCATTGATTTTACTTGCCTGGCCCCTGTAGCCGTTGGGTTTGAATTCTCTGAAGGGAACATTATTATTGTCTCTAGCCACCGAGAAAACAGACTTTCTAGGGGTTAGCTAATGGGGATAAAAGAATCTCACATAAGGCATGGCAGCTGTGGAATATGAGAACAGGCATATCTCCTCCAGCATTTCTAAATTACGATGAGAAAAGACAAGTTTGTGCCCAACTCTCTTGTTTCTACCTCAGAAACGCCCTCATTTGCATGTCCTTCTCTGCAACCCCACTGCCTCAGCTTTGGCCCATGGGCAGTATGGGGACTGTTGTGAAACAGCCTCACCCTGACCCCAGTCAGCCGTGATGCTCGCAGAAATGATCTCCAAACTCCCTTCTGATCCTGCCATTCCCAAATACATTCCATGTCCCTTATTTCCCCATCCATGCTCACACTGGCTCTCCCTGCCTGGAACGCCCAGCCTTACATAGTCATCCTTCAAGGTGCAGCTAAAAATACTACTTTCTGGCTGGGGATTCGGTTTCACTGCCTGCTTGCAGGCACAAGGACTAGAGTTTGATCCCCCAGTAACAAAACCAACCAACCAAACAAACAAAAATACTACTTTCTCCTGGTGTTCCTCCTTCCCCAGGCAACCAGGTACTTCTTTGTCTTCTCGGGACTCCATATCTTGGTTTTAAAAATTTATAATGTTGTTACCAAATGATTGTCAGATTACTCTAGAGTGGCTTTTAGGAATGTGACCAAAGTAATAGTCCCATAAAAGGTTAAAAAAGGAACCCAATTTCATTGATTTGATCTCAGCTAAATGCATCACTAACTTTTTATTGATTCTTTAGAAAGAGAGATGAGGAGAATCTGTGCCACCCACACTGGGTGCCAAATGAACAAGCAGTTGCAAGTTTATTACTCCCAGACACCCCACTTGCTTTCCAGATGCCCCATTGGGTTTTGATTCCATCACAGCCATGCTTGCTCAGCAGCCGTAGGCTTGACCGCACAGCCTGGGTGTCCAGAAAGAAAAAGAAGCTGCAGTTCTGGGCTGGGGTAAGGTGAGGGTCGGGCTGGGGTAAGGTGAGGGTCAGGCTGGGAGTCCAAATGGAGACAACAGCAGGGTGGAACAGCAGTTGGTCTGGGGGACACCCGAGATCAGTATTAAGAGTTCGGCACTCTTGATTCCAGCCCTAGCTCTACTCTTGGTAGGATTTTGGGCAAGCTATTAAATTCTCTGGGTGCCAGGAAAATGTATACTTGAAGTGGCTTTTTAAGAGTTTTTGGACCTGGGATAGATGCAGTTACCCTCAGTTGGATTTTATGTTTCATGCATGCTTTGGAAATTAGCTCAGAAGTTTGAGAGGCAAAATGACATTTTCTTATAGCAGTATCCAGATAACAAGACTAATAGACACTGTCTTCTATTGGATGTTTACTATGGGTCAACCCCATACAAGGTAGGGCTATCACATGCATTAGCTCACGTATTTTCAATACAACCACAGTCACCTGTCTCCACAGATAGATGAAGAAAGTGAAAGCTCGGAGAGGCGAAGTGCTTGATGTCACATGGTTAGGGAGCTACTGAAATTCAGCTAAGCAAATAATTGATTAAAAGGTGGGTGGCTCGTCTCTTTTCTTTTTTTGGTACCGGGGATCGAACACCGGTCCTTGTGCTTTTGCAGCAGGTGGCGAAACCACTGAGCTAAATCCCCGGCCCTCTTTTCTTTTTCTACTCTGAGTTTCCACCCATTCCAGTAAGTCTAGGCTGCTCGGCTTATGGCAGATCTATTGTGGTCTGCCATGCCTCTGGCTCAGGCTGGGTCCAGGTGGGTACATGTGGGGTGGACTGGGTGAGTCAGAGTTCCTCCTCAAGGTAGGTTTCCTTCTACCTCTTCAACTGTTTCTTCTCAGCCTTCTGTTCCTTTGGGCCTAATTGACATGGCGTCATGTCCTGGGATTCTGTTTTCAGATCTCTTTCTTATAACTTGACTCCTTCTCTCTTCTCTCTGATTGAACTTTCTAGTGACTTCAGCAGCCACATTTTGCCAACACTCTCAACTCTGTATCTCCAACCTCAACCCCACTGCCTTCTTGAGCTCTACATTTGGCTGATTGCTGCTGGGCATTTCTAGCTGAAATTGGATAGTGTTATGTGTTGTGTCCCCTTTAAATGATATGTTGAAGTCTAAACCTTCAGAATATGACTTTATCAAAAAAGTAGGGACTTCATAGAGACAGTCATGTTAGTAATGAGGTCATTATAGTAGCCCTAATCCAACATATCTGCTGATCCTTTTTTTTTTTTTGGTACAGAAGATCGAACTCGGGTCCTTGCACTTGTGCAACCACTGAGCTAAATCCCAGGCCCTTGCTGATCTTATAAAGGAGAGAAATGTGGACACAGGAGATCCAGAAGATGTGGCAGGATCCAAGGAATGCCAAAGATTGCCAGCAAAACAGCAGAAGTTAGGAAAAGGCCATGGGACAGATTCTCTTGCACATCCTCAAAAGGAACCAACCCCACTAACACCTTGATCTTGGACTTCTGGCCTCCTGACATGTGAGATGGCAAACTACTTAGTTTGTGGTACTCTGTTACAGTAGTCCAGCAAACTAATACAGATAATGTAAGCAAATACAGTCTGTGAATCTGATGACACTACCGAAAATGTATGATTACTGCTTTATTGTTTGTGAAGATGTTGTTGAACCGGTTAGTGGAAAATAATCACAAATGTTGACATGTCTGTAATGTACAAAATGGTATCATCCAGGAGAACTGCTTGAGGTATTCCACACAGAAAGGAGTTACTAGAAGGAACTTGATGTTTGTAGAATATTTGAAAGGAGTAGAAGAGAAAAGTCAGGAAAAACTGTGGATGGTTTCAGGAAATTAAGGAGTTATGAAAATTATAAATAAATCCTCATCACCAATGATCTCAGCTACCAGAAACATGAAATAGATGCAAAACTCACAGGAAGACAGAGGGAAGCCTTTGTAAAACCTCCTGCCTGCCTCCTGCCCGCCAACACGAGAGGACCAATAATAACTTGTTGCTCTTCCACCTTCCAGATCTCACAAGAACATCTCTAACTGGTGGACTCAAAACCAGGTAACAAGGGAATCTGAGAAACGTAGACTTGTTTCCAGCTCCCTATATTGCAAGAACTCAAAAGGGCTGGAATAGTTCTTCAGGCTAACAGAGAGTATCCAGCACAAAGTATATTTGAAAATCACAAAAACAAACTCAAAATCTCTTTGAGGTTTTTTTTTGGTACTAGGGGTAGAACTCAGGTCCTTGTGCTTGAGCAGCCAGCAGCGAAACCACTGAGCTAAATCCATGGCTCTCTTTGAGGTTCCAAGGAGACAATATTTGTGAATTTTCTTTGAAAAATAAGATGTGCTATGTAAACTCAATATATTTTATAGCTAGAGAGGGTTCATTATCATAGATAGGACATTTCAATGAAACAATTTAAAAGAAAAAAATCTAGATAACTGATAATTATTTCAAAACTCTTATTTTAAATGGGGGAATATATTTGCATGCACATGTCAGTGAGTACATATTTGCTGTGATGAGATTGTATGCACAGTTTTGTATTTTCTATTTGCATGTAAGCCTCTGTGTGAGGAGGCCTCTGTGTGTGCGTGTGTGTGTGTGCGTGCATGTGTGTGTGTGTGTGTGTGTGTGTGTAAATCTGGTGTTAGGCTGGAGAGCCTAATACAGTCTATTCTGCCAGAAGGTCTGGTCTAGCCATTTCTGACGCATCTTCAGGACCTAGACTGGATCACCTTATCTGTCACCTGATTCCTCTTGCTTTCCTATTCTAACAGCCACTCTATATCCCAAACATCTTTCTTTTTATCCCACTGCATCTGCCTTGGCGAAGGCATCTTCATATCTCACCTGTGGTTGGTGGTTTAGTATCACCTTTACTTCCATATTCAAACCTGCTCTTTGAGAAAATTCACTTATTCTACATATAAATGGAACCTCTTTTTCTTAACCTTTCTTGTTCACTAAGTGGAGAGTTGGCTCAGTGGTCAAATGGTTTCCACAAAGACCCCCGTTATCACATTACTGGTGTGTTCAGAAACTTATAATTTATGTCTTATAATTAGATAAGCTGCTAATCGAGGAGAGGCATAACAACCTGATTTGAGTCTTGACAAAGTGACTAGATCCTTAATGACGAGGTGGTGATGAAGCATCGGGACTCCTTATCTGCTCTGGTTCCTGTACCTTGTTCTGGAATGGGAGAGCTCTCAGTTAGAGAGTCTGTCTTTTACTTGATAAAGCTTTGTGAATAAACCTGGAGATGAACTCGCAGGAAAGGAATTCATCCTCCCTGAGCTGGAGGAAGTCATTATGATTTTGAGGCAGCATCTAAATTTTTTCAAATCGTCAGAAAAGCAATTTCAGTCCACACTGCTGCAGGAGTCTTGCTTCTTCCTTTTCTCCTTTCCTCCCTTTCTATTATATACTTAATCATAAACAAGCTGAATGAGGTTGATGCATTGGACATGATCCTCGTAATGTTTGATGCTCAGAGCTTGGTATAGAGTTGACAGTAGATTTTGTCATGATGTGAACATGCCAAGGACTATGCTGACACTGAAACAAAGGTGAGTCAGACCTGAACAGATGCTGCCCTGGAGGAGAACAGAGGTAAGGAAACGAACACTTAAGTGCAGCAAGGTAAGAGCAGTGTGAGAAGTAAATGTACATGATAAGGGAGCCAAGAGAAGTGGAATCTGACTCTCCTGCGAACAGCAAATATTTCTTGGAAGGAGAGAATATACTAAGATGAATGTAAAGGATACAGGCATTTCCCTGGTGGAAATTAGAAGAAGGAATTCTTGGCAGAGAGGACAGCATGGGTAGAGACGTGAAGGAGGCATAAAAGACCAGGATGTATTTAGGGAATTTCAAACTGCTGTGGCTTTAACACAGAGGACGAAGAGGCTAATGATGGAATGTAAATTTGGAGAGGGTGCTGGAGACAGGGCTGCTGGGGATGACTTGTGATTTACTTTGTGTGGGAGCAGCACTGAGGAAGGGAGTAAGGCTAAAATATAGCTTTGTTCTACTCTACCAGTGCACAAACTTGTGGCTACAACCTCCTTAGAAGAGGCTCTGTTTGTAACACACAAGGGCTCTTATAGGATAGCATTGTCTCTGTGGGGAGCCTTGCAGATCTTGCTAAGGTTGTGACTCTATCTAGGCTGTTTCTCAAATTTGGTTCAACATCACTTGGAGAGCTGATTAAAACAAATTGCCGGCCATAGCTTTGGGGTTTCTGGCTGTGAGTCTGGGGCAAGGCTTGGGAATTTTTATTTCTTTTATGTTCTCAAGTGATGCTGATGCTACTGGTTTGGGGACCCACTCTGAGAATCACTCATCTGGGTAGTAGGAAGCCACTGGAAAGGGTTAGGTAGGAGAAGAAGAGCCAAGGGTCCGTTTTCTGCATTCGAGTTTCTGATATCCTTATGAACTAGTTAGGACAACTAGATGTATTATGAAGAGTGGATATACAATATGTCCACCTTCCCCTTCCAACTGAAGGTCATTAGCTGTGTTTACTTGAGTAGGGGTTCTGTTTAGGTCTTCTGTTTAGGAAGGATTTGCTGTAGATGATTTAAGGACTGACCCCGTAGAGCTTTTACATAGTGAGCTCCCAAATGGTTTAAAAGTTTGTTTACTTTATTAATGACTCTCCAGAGAAAGCTGAAGCTACCAACTAAAAGATGAGTCATACATGGTGATAAAGCTTCTTTGAAAACTTTTGTTTAATGAATTCTTGACTTCAGAATTAGAATGCATGTCCATACATGCATGTGAGCATATTTGATGAGAAGAAAGGAGAAGGAAAGACAAGGAGCCACGGGGTGTCAGAATCTCACCCATATTAGTAAATGTTTGCTGGATGAAGATGTGAGCATTGAGCATTAAACATGCTAATGGGGGAACCACCATACCCTGTCAGGAAGTTGTTGGGTTGTGTCTGGCTCTGGGCTAGGATTTGGAACTTTGGCCGGGAAGCCAAACCTTCCTCTAGTCCAGTCCTCATTTGTGGTCCCAGAGAATACTAATCAGATGTTTTCGTGCACACACAGAGAGATTGGCTGTACCACTCTGTCCCTTGGGGTCTCAGGCCCACCTTGCCTTGAGGTTGGGGGCTGGAGCTCAGAGGTGTAGGAGCGCAGGGAGTCCATCTTTATTCTCTAGTCAGGATATAGTTTCCAGGATGAACCAGTTTTGAGATAGGGGTAGGGAGAGTGCACACTGGAAGAGCATCCAACTTGATTATCTTTTGTCTCTTTCCAAGCTTGGCCCAGGCTTTCCTGAAAGCTCAAGGCAGGACAGGTGCGGGCGATCTCTGTTACTCAGTGATTTAGGGTGCCCATTAGGGAGCCTCATGCTGGCTGAAGGGCTGCCAGCCTCAACTAGCTCAGCTATTACCAAACTGAGCCTGTCAGCAGTGTTAATGGGAGAAGGAAAGTCTTGTCAGAGGCGGCTGGGTTCTAACTCTAGGTGTCAAGGAGAAAAGGAGAGAGGAGGGGAGGGAGTCCGTTCAGAAGCTACAATCAAGATTGGGTTGTTCTTAATTAAGACAGCTCCAGGTAGCACATTTTCATAATTTCCCATTAAAGAGGTCCTGATGTATGAATCACTGTGGGAGCTGTAATCCCCAGAGTTAGCATTGTTCTGTGTCTGAGACTCCTCAAATAAAAAAACCCATCCATTTCAATCACCAATGCTTTATGAGCACCTGAGATGTTCCCTGTTCTATGGCAGATGCTATGCTCAGCCTTGGAAGGGGCACAGCAATGGATAAGGCTGAGGTCCCTGCTGGCCAGGGCCAAAGCCTTGCTAGACCCTGACCTTGGGGGAGGAGCATGGACCAGGTGCATTTCTGTTCCATGTGGGCTCTGGTGCTGATGACTGGGAGGCAGAGTAGGGAAGATGAAAGCATGCCAGATTTGGAAGCAGGAGGCCTGAGTTTCATTCCCTTAGCACATCTCTGTTAGGCCCTCTTGGTTTAGGGGTTTGGGATTCAAAAATGAATACAAGACAGCTGGTGCCTTCAAGAGGCTGTAAGGGCCAGGAGAAACCCTAAATCAAAAATTGAGTTCACTATGATAAATGTTAGAACAGTCGAGTATGGAGCCCTCTGGGAATGCTGAGGGCAGAGAGACTAATTCTGCCTGGCAGAGGTGAGGTGGTAAAGAAGGTCCAATTCTTGGCTTCCTTGATTATTGTGGTATCGTCTTAGGGGTTATATGACATTTAATGGGCCTCAGTATCATCATATGCAAAGTGGATAATATAATCCACTTTCAGGACTCACCTGAAGATTTATGAGAGGATGCATATGAAGGCTTTGGTGGAATCTGCCTTTTCTTCTTGTGTCTCCCCAAGCGTCTCTCCTGACTTTTCGTTAGTGTGAACATTTCACATGTCGGTGTGAACTGTGAGGCTGTCCCCAGATGTTGTCCAGCAGTCTTGGGCTTCATAGACCACACTGGTCCTAGGAGATGTTCTCTTCCTTCTCAGCCTGGTCACTGAGACCGGGAGGCATGATCCGGAGCTGGCAAGACAGTGTAAAGTAATTGTCATTCTTTGGAACAAGACATGGAATTATGTTACATGATTTTGAAATATTTTCATGCTAAATATATCTCAGTGCATGTATTTAGGTTTGGCATCCCCAGTAACCTTAAGATGTCAAACTTTGCATTTTATAGGTGAAATGGTTGAGTCTTGGATATTCTAAGTTACCTGAGGTCACATAGGAATTACACTTTGCAGAGCTAAAATTAAAAGTAGTATCTGTGGAGCTTGGAAGGGGTAAGATATTTCCGTGAAATCATGCTGCGTTTCACATGTAATTCCATGATGTAAGTAGTGATATTTCCCCACCACTGATTTGCTCATTACTGACCTCATTTTGACTTCATAACTAGTTTAAAAAAATGTTGCACATTGCATGTTCAGTTTGATTCTTGGTTCCAGCAAGAAGGCAGGTTAAGGGCCAGGGATTTAGCTCAGTGACATCAAGCCTGCCTGGCAAGTGCAAGATCCTGAGTTTGATCCCCGATATCAGAAAAAAAAAAAGAAGAAGGCAGGTTAAGAACGCACAAAACTTCCTGCATAAAAAAACACCTAGAAATGCTGGATAAGATATAACAATAACAACTCAAAACAAGTTGCTGAATTTTCAAGAAAAAGAGAAATCCCTAGAGACCTAAAGTAAAGAGGGAATTGGAGAAAAGCTGTAACTACAGAGCTGAGGGTGTAGTTGGGATGTTTGTGTATGTGACTGGTCCTGTTAATTTAAGAGCTTAGATTGTAACATCACAGTGGGGTGAGAGAGGAAATTCTTGAGCTTGTTTAAGGGAGAATATTAGACATGAGTCTTTGAGTCCTTGATATGAAACAATATGAAAACTCACAATAAAAATTAAAAAATAAATGAAGTCAGGAGTTGTAGTAAAAAAGTTAAATAGATATCTAAGCATTTAGGATGCTAAATATGACTATGAAAGAGAATAAGTAAGAATTTAAAAAATCATCAGAATATAAGAAAAGTTCAAATAAATTAAAAGTATAATTTCCAGAATTAAATTTTAGTTATTGGAAATTAAAAAGTTACTGGATTCTAAGCAGTAAATTAAATATAGCTGAGGAATAAATAAGTGAAGTAGATGTACGATTTAAGAAAATTTCTGAAAAGCAGAGAGACAAAGATAAGAAAAAAATGTGTGTGTTCCATAAACATAAGCATTTCATGTAAATATATTTATGTGTGTGTATGTAGATAGATATATAGTTACATGGTTCTAGATACATAGAATAAAAAGATTTGGACATAGGCAAGTTTTTAAAAGATATAGAGAAATTAGCTGACAATTTTTCAGAATGGATAAAAGGTAAGGAATAGCAGGTTCAGAAATAGAATGAATTCTTAGAATTATTTAAATAAAGCCTCCTATTAGAGGGTTTACAGAGCTCCAAGAACAAAGAAGATAATCATAACAACAACAAAAGAGAAAAGAATAATAATATAAAAGAATAATAATTAGATTAGACTGACAGCAGTCTTCTTAACTGCAACAATAGATTTTAGAAGATAATGAAACACTATTGCCGAGCACTGAGGCAAAATAACTGTCAATTGAGCATTCCTTCCCATTATTATTTGAGAGCAAGGATTAGGTCAGGGCATTTTTAGGTGAAGACTGCATAAATTATAACCAATTGGTCCTTCCTTAAAGAACTAGTCAAGAATACTTCAAAAAAGAATGAGACCTGAAGAAGAAAACTTAAAAGAGACTGGATGTAGAAAAATGACAATGAAAAAATATCATTTCATCTTTGTGTGTATACAAAAGACATATCCTTGTTTGCTGAAATCAGAATAATAATGGGTAGTCCTAGGGTACACAAACAGTACTGGACAATGAAATATGAATGAGGAGAGAAAGAGAAATTAAGATGTATTGTCATTAGGAAGGATAGAAAAATACATATCGGGTTTAGATACTGTTAAAATAATATGCATGTTCATAAAAAGTAAGAGTAAACACTAGGAGAACAGACATTGATCTCATTTTTCTTTGTTGCTGGGACAAAACTTAAGAGAGGAGAGGTTTATTTTGGCTCACATTTCGGTCCATAGTAGGCTGTCTCCAAGGCAGGACAGCACGGCAGGGGGCGTGGTGAAGGAGAGCTGCTCATGGCATGGGAGACAGGAAGAAGAGAGAATCAAGAGAGGAGCCAGGAAGGGAGATGAACTTCCAGGTCATACGCACAGTGACCCCCATCTTCTGACCAGACCCCACCTCCCAACACTAAGTTAGCTGTAGCACCCTATAACCAGCTACCTTCCACAAGCCCCCCTTATGAGATCATGAGGCTCTTGGGGGTCATCTAGATATAAACCATAACAGATAGTATGCCTTACAAAGCAGCAAGGGTAGGAAGAGGGGAACAAGCAAAATTCACTGTGGTGGAAGGCAGGAGGGAAAATAACATGAAGAAAAATTAGGGTAAGCAGAAAGCATAAAATAATGCAGAAGAAACAAATTTAAATATATCAGTAAATTAAATCATTAATAGACCAAACCCACCACTTACGAGATGATGGCTATCAGACAGGCTACAAAGCAAAACCCTGTTTAGGAGAGTTGTTTCTAAAACATAGGAACTGAGAATGGTAACAAGTAAAGGAAATGAAAATAGAACTTAAAAATGAAAAGGAAAAAATATATAATAAAAACACCAACCCTAATAAAACTTGTAAAATATATTAATATTATTATCATTTTTATTAGTCATTACATAATTATAAAATAGAGCAGAAAGATACAGTAATTATACCTTTCTATTCTGAAGCCAAAACAATGATAGGGTAAGAGAAAATTGACAAACTCATAATCATATTTAATACACATAGAAGATTTGAAAACAAAATTAATGAGCTTTATTCAATGAAAATGCAGAACTTGGAAATATACAGTCACTAGAGAACCTGAATTCTTTTCAAGAATACTTAGACAAAGGGAGTGGAAGGGGGAAGTAAAAAGAAGATGCAGTATTTAAATGGACCAACGCTCCAAGATGAATATATTCATTATGTATTACAAATACGTTCTAATTAATAAATCAAAAAAGAATCTTTGCCAGTTCTAAAATGTGTTCACATACTAAACCACAGGGTGAAGTCTCAGTATCAAACAGTTATATTCTCCATCCCCAGTTTAATAAAACCAGACATCCTTAATGAAGAGTTAGGCAACCAATCCTCCATCCATTTGTAAATTGACAATTCTAAGTGATTCATGACTCAAAGAAAAAAATTATTGAAATGAGAAGTTTTAAAAGAACTGAGTAACAAAATTCCTACAAACCCAAACTTGTTGAACTGAAGCAAAACAGCGCTTAGGGGAAATTTAGAGTCTTTAAAGCAAGCATTAGAAGAAGAAAGACTGAAGAGTAATCAGTTGTGTCCACTGCAAGGTGCTTGAAAAAGAATCAAATAAATCTAAAGAAAATAGAAGGAAATAATAAAGATGAGAGCTCAAAATAACAAATTAGAAAATAACATCAAAAAGGAAGTTCTTTATAACTAAAGATGCTTGTTTGAAAAAGCTAATCAGATAGGTGCCTCTAACAAGATTGAATAATAAAATAAGAGCCAAGTCAAATATGTGTTCAAATAAAAATGGGATTTTAAATTTGAAAAGCCTAAAGAATACTTTTAGCAGCTGCATGCTAATTTGTCAAGCAACCTCTAAGCAGCTTTGACTAATGCGGTAGTTGAAGTAGTTGAAGGGCTTATTACTCTGTCACAGCCCTGTTTGGTAAAGACAAGATAAACCTACCTGGAGACATTCAGTTTACTATTTATATAGACAGTAAAAGCCAGATCAATATGGTGTCAGCTATCTATGTATCTTGTCCGACAAAATGTCACCAAAACAAAAGGGGCCAAATGGCAGATGACATGAGACATAGGTCGCTGTGTTATTGGGGAGCCAGTTTTAGGCTGTAGCTAGCAGCTGTATACCCCATAGCTGTACCGTTGGGTGTGTGGTTTGTTGGGGGTGGGTGGGGATGTCGGGTGGCTGAAGTTGAAAGCTCATGTTTCACCAGACCTAGGCAGTCAGGTGAGACTCTGTCTCATGGGTGTTCTCCAACATAGAGGCGAGTGGTAATTAGACTTGGGGAAAGTCCTCATGAGAGAGCTTGTTGCACTGTGCTCTGGGTGTGTGTGATCTATATGGTTATGTGCAAGGCCATAATGGTGCCATAGCAGAGCTGCTCACGATGCATTTGAATAATGGTGAAATAAGCATTTACTTAGAAAAATGTTTCATACTAAAAATGACCCAGTATGAATCAGGACACTTAACTACACCTGTAACTGTTAAATCAACCACAATAATAATACTCTAATACTCTATCTAATTAAAAACTACCAGGTATAAGTGTTTTTATAGGAGAATTCCAGTAAATCTTTAAAAATCTCTAAGTAATTCCTCTTAATCCAATTCTGATAATACAACAAGAGAAAGCTACTACTTGAAAGCTATTAAACCAAGATATGGACAAAGATAACACAAGAAATAGATTACAGAGCAATCTCTCTTATTAACAAGGATGCAAATGTCCTATGTATACCAACACCAGCTGGTTATTAGGTAAAATACTACAACCAAGTAGGGTTTATTTCTGAAATTTAAAGATACAGTTGTTTGAGATCAGAGAATCAAAAAGTCATATGATTTTTTTTTGTGAAGAAAAACAAAATAAATTTATTTATATATTATTTATTATTTTGTTGTACATAATACACTATGCATATTTAATATTGACTTATATCACATTATGACTCTTAGAAAATTGGAAATAGAAGAAAAGTGTCATGATCTGATATAGAGTATCAAAAGCCCAAATGGTACATGGGAGAATATACCTATATAATTTTGGACAAGGAGCATTTTGTATCTAAAGGACTTATTTAAATTAATTTTAAAAAATCCAGAAAATCAAAAATTCAAGAAAGAATAAGAACAGGCAAGAACCAAGGAAACCTAGAGGGCCAATAAACATATAGAAAGATGCTCCTGTTCAGTTTCATTGGTGAGAGATATAAAGTAAATCTTACCAACTTTGGAGAGAATGTAAAAAATTGGAACTCATGAACTAATCTGGGGGAGTGGAGGTGAATACAGCCCCCTTGAGGGAGCAGTTTGAAAGTCTGTGAAGCAGGGTTCTGACAGGAAACAGGTGGCACGCTCAAATTTGATCATGTGCGCAGAGTTTAATAATGAGACTATTTAGACAAGTTTGAACAAGGTACCAGAAAAGTACAAGGGATAGAGCAGCACCCAGGCATTCCTGTTGGTGGGACCTAACCACCCACAGGCCAGAAAGGGAAAGCCGGAGACAGAGAGGTCTGTGAGGGCCATGTGTATCTGGGCCGGTGGCTGCCCCTGCAGGGACCTGCACAGCTCGCTGCGAAACCCTGACCTTACTTCCTTTCCTCTCCCTCCCTCTTCCAGTTTACCTTTGGTCCTCTTCATTGGGCAAACACAACAGGAAGCAGAAAGCAAGGGGGCCTGATTAGTCCAGAAAATTCAGCCTGTCAAGGCCCAGGACAGGATAGCAGAGGGTGGAGGGTGGCCTTGGGAAGGGTGAATGGAAGAAGATTAATCACACCAGCTACTTTACTCCAGGGAGCATGCCTTAGAGAAATCATGTACTTGTGCACAAGGAGATATGTAGGACAAAGATGTTTATTTTATAGCACTGTGAATAACAAAAAATGTGCAAACAGCCAATGGCCATTCCATCTATTGTTTTGTAACTGTGTTGTGTAAGCTGTGGTTTGTTCATAAAATGGAGCATCATGATGCAATTAAACTAATGAACTAGACATACCTGTATCAATATCGATTAATCTCAAAAATGTAATGCTAGGGCCAGGGATTTAGCTCAGTGTTTTCACCGCCTGCTGCGCAAGCGCAAGGACCCGAGTTCGATCCCTGGTACCAAAAAATAAATAAATAAAAAATAAACAAGTAGAAATGGGAGAAATCATTTTAAAAAAATGTAATGCTGATGGCAGCAATGTTACCAAAAATACATACAATATAGTACTACTTACATAAAAGTGTACAAGCCTGTAGCAATTGTATTATTTTGTAGTAACAGTAAAAAAAAATGTGACTAGGAAGGAAATAAGAAAATGATAACCTCCGATGGAGGGAAGGGGAAGAGTTCAGGGTACTGGAGTGTGCTTGTTATTTTGTTTTGAAGTCAAGTGGAAATGAATATGGCAAAAAAAAACCCCATTTAATCTCAGTAGTAGGTATATGAGAGTTATTTACTATTTACTCCTAATTTCTATATGTTTGAAATATCTCATGGTTAAAAATTTAAAAGACAGTTTCATAATTAAAAATTTAAAAGACTGTAATGAAGGGAAGGGTGCATTATGTGAAAAATATTTAGAATGTAAATAGAGCACTAAATTTCATTTATCTAGAGCAAGATTAGCACAGTTTTTCTGCAAAGGGTATGATAGTATGTAGTTTTAATTTAGGGGGCTATCCAATCCCTCACAACTACTTAATTTCTGTGTAGCTTGAAACTAGGCATGGGGAGTACACAGATGCATGGATGTGGCTGTGTTCTAATAAAGTTTTAATTTAGAAAGCCAATTGACCAGCCAGATTTAGCCCCAAGGCTATACTTTGCAACCTCTGATCTAGAGAACCTACCTATCAGGCATACTTCTCTTTCCAGGAATGTGTGTTAAATAAAGCTCAATGGTATAGCTGTCCACCAGCCTACAATATTGCAAATTGTCAGCAGGTATGTTGTTTAGACTTCTTAGCACTGGTCAAGAAATACGGCTGAAAAAAAAAAAAGAAATATGGCTGAATCGTGATCCTCTGTCTATCTTCATCTTTGGCTGTGGATCTTCAGATTCTTTCCAGGCTTCAAGTCAGCCCATTTGTGTGCACATTTTGGAGGAGCTGAATGTGCTGCAAGCCTATAGTCACTTCTAACTTGAGCTAAGCAGAACGACCCAAACAATGAGACATCAGGAGGCGTTTTGAAACATGCAGGTATATCATGGTCAGTTGGTGTAATGTGGAAATGTGGCACATGATCAAGATAATCCACTTGGTTTTATTGTGCGGGCTTACCCAGAGAGGCAGCCTAGTGCAGTGGTTAGGGATACGGACTCTGGGGCTAAGGACAGGACATCTCAGAGGGAGCCAAAACTTGTTTCAGTTGTTTGTTAAGGCATAGCAAACCACTTTAGAGCAGTGGCTTAGAGCATCTACTTAGCTCCCGAATTCAAGAGCCGACTGGATTCAGCTAGATGGTTCTTTGTCCGCTCTCTCTTTCTCTCTGGCAGTGGTGGGGCTGGTGTTGTCTTGAAGGTTTCCTCTGAGTCTGGGGCAGTACTGGAGAACACTCAAGCAGGTGGAGGCTGGAGTGGAGCAGAAGTTCAGTCCCCCCATCCCATGTGTCCTTCCATAGGCTGATCTTAGAGCAGTTGAACTCTTAGCTGGCTAAAAGCTGCCAAAGCCCCTGGCACCTTGCCTCTGGCGTCAGTGAGTGTCACTCCTGCCACTCAATTCCCTGTGGCCTCCACAAAGGCGGGGAAGAAGAACAGGGTTCATCTCTGTAAGGCTCTTAAGCCAGGGGCTGGCTGTACTATGTTTAAGTGTGTGTTCCTTAGGGGAGAAAGAGAAAGAGA